GCTGGATTATGGATTTGTGATACCATCAAACCCCTATGATTGTATTGAGCTGAAATATGATGGAGCACTTCTGGATGCTGCAAGTATGGCTGCTGGAGTATCATCACCCAACTTCTCTGTACCATCTCCATGGCAGAAAGAAATTTTATGCCAGCTAAAGTTAGATGGGGAAGCTCCTCTTCTTAAGGTTTCTACTTTCCTGAAAACATATTGTTACTGTTATCCTGCTTTATAATTTGATTTCGATCAATGAATGTTCACCATGGGTTGGAGCAAACTTTATTCATATAATTTCTCAGTTTTATTTTGAAGAAAAACTCTGGTATTTGTATGCTGTATTTGGGTGGTTAGATGGAAATGGCTTATTGGCTTTTGGTGGCTTGAAATATATTGCATGGATATTATCTGTGTTTTGCTGTAAATGCTTTACATTGAGGAAGTTAGAAGAATGCATGTGAATCACTCTTTTGCTATCTGGTCCCTAGTACTTACCTTTCAAACTTTTTGTTGGCCATTAGCATAGTTAGAGATCTAAACTTGCTATCAGATTGATCATGTTAGTTGTACTAAATTTATGAAAGACTTCCCTCTTTAGACTTTCTGGTGCACAAATTGGGTATTTAACCTTTCTTTTCTTGTTTTGCCTAGTAGGTATGCTTAGGGGGTTCGGAGTTGGTTGAGGGGCGCTTGTTGGCAGCCTTAAGAGTTGTTCTTGCCAGTGACATGGAAACAGTTCAGAAGCTTGATTTAGATAAACTTAAATCTATTTCAGTTGAAGCTCCCCTTGGTATAGCAAATGAGTTAGCTGCTTTTCGCACCGTTATTGCATTATGTGTGATTGCACTGGGACACTTCCCAACCAAAATCATGGAGGATGAGTCCCTGTTGCAAAAGGGTGTTTCAGATTCTACTCAGTTGGCTATCCAGTTCCGAATTGAGAAGAAATCTGTCATTATAGATGTGATGAGAGATCTCACAAGGAGGGTGAAATTACTAGCATCAAAAGAAACAGCCACTGCTCAAGGCTAAATTGTTGTGGTAGAGGGATCATCCTAAAGGTGGCATGTCTGCACACGCAACTGTCTTTTTTTTTTCTTTTTTATCAAAGAGCACACAACTGTCTCTTATACATGTTTGTTGCCTTCGTTCTTTTCTGCTACTTTGTTTTGCAATTACTTTCTGATCTTTAGTAATTTGAGTATTATCTTTATAGAATTTTGAATAGGCTGGGTTTTCTAGTATTAATAGTCAGAGCTTTAAAACTCGATAAACTTTACAGGGTTGGTGAACATTTCGAAAATTCCTGTAGGATCTTGTGAGAAAAACAAAGGACAGGGATTAATCCTCAAAATGTGATTAGGTTCTATGTATGGTTGTTGTTCATGTGCATGCGCATGACAAACACATAGATAAAGAGGGAAAGTCTAGCGGTAGAACGAAAATATGATGTATGAGATCATAATTGCAAAACTCACAGGAATCTAATCATAGAAATTAACCAAGAAACGATAAGTTTCGCTATGCCTTTGAGATTCCCACCAACTACTACCTGTACAACTAAACTAGTAAAACCCCAAAACACCAAAACTCCCATGGTTGCTGTGGTAGAAACCAGAAAGCAAGAAAAACAGTAATATAAAAAAAACAAAAAGCAAAAAAGTTAACATCTAAAGCGTCGCCACCATAACCATGCAAGCTGAGGCAGGGCAACCCCTATCCCTCCCTCCCTATGCAGCCAGTCCCAGCGGAGAACGCGAACGCTGGCGAGTAATCTGGCGGAGAAGGACCCGTCTCAGTCGCAGCTCTGCAGGCTGCTCCAGAGACGGGTGCTTGATTTTCTCGAACTCTTGCTTGATCTTCATCACTTGGCTGTGAATTGGAACACCCATGTAGCTGCCCTCTTCATCCATGTTCCTGTTGTTGCTGTTGTTTTCGTCTGTGTTGATGTTGTTGTGCTCCATATCTCTGGCCAAATTAGCTTCACAAGAAGACTCGCACAACACAAGCTCTTTTCTGTTTTTTGGTTGCTTAGGGCGTCAAGAAATTGATCACACCTTAGGCCTTGTGTATCTGTTTTCTTGAAGAGTTACGAATGTATTGAATACTTTAAATACGGAGAGAAACAAAAAAGACACGATTTCTTCATGAGCAGTGAGAAAAGGAAGGTATTTGCAGAAAGGAAGGTGCTGCGGCCCAAGGGCACTATTAATAGTAATTGACTTTCTTCGTATGAATCAATTTTAAGACGGCTCTCCAAAACTTACCCCTTTTAAACTTGGATCAACATTACCATATTGACCATTGGGCACACTCGACCCTTTTTATTATTCTCTATTTTATTATATTTGTTTTCTTCTTATTGGCGTAGTGGGTCAAATGACCCCCTAATTTTGTTTGGCAACTATTGGAGGGTAGGCATCGTCATGACTAATTTGATTAATGGTCTTCTAATGCAGACACTTACAATTTGGGTCATCTTTGGTCAAAGAACAATGGCAAGTCCCAGAGAGAGAGAGAGAGGGTATAGGTGGGTGGGTTGTTGGGCAAGCGGCCGGCCTTTCCACACTTGTTTCAAGGATTTCTTCATTTGACTGGATTTTCATTTAGGTATAAACATGTACCAAATCAAGGTAATTAATGCATATAACTTTATTTGCCTTGGACTTGTTTTCCTTTCCCGTCTCAAGAATTCTAGGTCGTTATAAGAGCTGTGAGATTTGCTGAAATCCAATGAAATTTTTGCCAGCAAAAGAAAGGATGAACGTGTATGAAAATTGTACCTTGGACTTGCCTTGATTGGATTGGATAGACACTAGAAACTTAGTGGCCAAGTTATACCTTTTTTTTTTCTTTCTGGAGAATGGGGTGATCATAAAGTTTCTTTTTGAAGATTGTGAAATTAGGATGATTCTTGTGAACCAGAAGAAAATGACGAATATGCTTTAACCCTTT